CCTTAGTAAGACTGATTAATCCCATTCTTGACCCTTGAGTTTATACTGTTTTCTTCAGTGGGACCACAGACAGTTCTCTCTCTTTTTCAAAATCATTAGACCTTTTCTTTCTCTTTTAAGTAGCTTCTGTAACAAACACTACTTGCAGGAGACAGGAGTATCTCACTGACAAACAGATGTTTACCTAATGACCTATGACTTCTATAGGACAGGGCTTGGACAGGGAGGAGAAATGGTTGAGGCTGAAAACAAGACAGGCAATTCATGTAGGCTGTGGAGGAAATGGGTGTGAGGTGTTTTCATCAAGGACGGCGTTGGGTGTGTGCTGCTTGCCCTCTTGCTGCTGCTGGGAAGCCTGGTGGTGATTTCTGCTAAGGGCTAAACTTGGACCAGCACCCCTGAGACCTTTCTAGCTGAGATGCGGGGATTTCATGAGAAGTCCTTCTAAGGGGCAGTGGAATGGCCCAGGGGAAAGAGCCCAGGACGTGATTTTCTGCCGTGATGACGCAGCAGGCCTGGTGCCACCACCACCAGCAGTTCCAGGGGACAGATCCTAGGGAGGGAATGACATCCACTTCCATTCTTCTTTTAAAGTCAATGGATAAGATCATTTTCACCTATTGTTTTAAACTAAACTATTTGAGAACCTCTGAGTGTGCAGGCAGTGAGTGTGCCCAAGTAGGTCTGATGAGCAGTCTCCTGAGTCAGCAGCTCAAGCGTTTTCACCAACCACCACCAGCTGCTGTGGGGGTTTTAACCTTCTTCAAGTATTACATTGCGCTTTCCGTCTCTTAATTATAACTTAGAGACAAGTCACATAAGGAACACCTATTTGCAATATAAGTTAATGAGCAGCAAAAATACAAAAATAATGACTCCAGGTTTGTTTCACTATTTGCTTCCCCAGATCACCGTGTTGCATTCATGTGATAAATATTACCAAATGTAATGAAAATGTCTACACGCCTCCAAAATCCAATGTAGAAAAGAGAAAAGATGGTGCTGACTCCATCCCATGTGGTTTGTCATTTATTGGAAGTCAAGACTGCTCTTGCCCACAGTGTGGGATTTGTGGAGAACAGCTTGCAAAGAGCAACCTGAAACCTTCCCTCTTACCTCATCATTTAAAGCACAACACTAGCATTTTGTAAGGATTTAAAAAAAAAAAAAGTTAATTTTGTTAAGTGTATATATAAATTAGGTCTTGAATGCACTTTTTGTCTATTTTTGATGTTGGAACACATGGTAATATATCAACTTATATTTTAAAACTATGTGTACATGTAAATATATATGCATCGACAAATGTTTTTCCTTGCTCAAAAAAATAAAAGTAAGTGGGACAACTTATGCCACTTTTTAATCAGTGAAAAGTTGAAATGTGAGATCCCATTTAAAAGGAGCTTATAGAACAATTTCAGTGACATATTCATCTAAAGTGAAAAGATTGTTTCCTTATAAATCACTCACTCTGAGCAAAAGTGACAAAGTACTGGGACCTTGTGCCAAATAAGATCCTGCTGGTGCTGGGGGCGATGAGATTACACTGGAATGTGAAAGCCTGTGGCAAGCCGCCAGGCTGGGAAGGGTGGTGGCGCGGTGTTGTCCCTGGGGTTCCTGGCTGTCCCTGCTATTTTTCAGTGGCAGGAACAGTACCTTGGCATTTTGGTCAGGAGCAACTCTGCTGAGGGCTTGGGTAGCAGAGAAGGTCGAGGGACATTGTAGGTGCCTATTCCCTATCAGGAGCCAGCCTTTTGTGCTCACAGACCCGCTCTGCCTCTGGTGTGGGGTTCAGGGCACGGGTCTTGGAGACAGACAGATGAGAGTTGGAGTCTTGTGACCTGTTTCCTGCCTTTATTATCCTGGTCACCTTGATCTCTATTATTATTGGTAAACTATTATTGGTCCTCGCTAAAATCCCAGGAGGCAAAGATTCTCCATTGACCTACCCCAAATTGAGGCTTATGTTCAATATTAATGTAGATTGATTATAAACTAGGGTAAGTATTTATCTAGGCTAGGCCTAGATTCAAATCCAGGCCTCCAAAGCTCTTGATTTTTCCCTTAATGCCATACTTAAACCTTGTGGGGGTTTTCCAGGATTTCACTGTTCTTCTCTGAAGCACAGATTGATTTATTCATTTAAGAAATATTTACTGTGTGCCTATTATGCATTGATATTTAGATACAAAGGTCAGGAAATCCTGAATGAATGAAAAAGAGATATTTGAGTAGTGAGCTAAAGGGAGGTGAGGAAGCAAGAAAGCCCCTCAGGTTTCTGGGGGAAGAGCCTTCCTGGTAAGGAGAATAGCAGGGCTGATGTCCCTGAGGAGAGAGCTGGCCAGCTTTTGGACAGAAGTAGATGTCATTGGGGGAAGTTCTGTGTTTCATCAACAAAAGACAACCTACTGAATGGGAGAAGATATCTGCAAATGATATATCTGATAAGGGCTTAATATCCAAAATATATCCAAAATATATATACTCATACAACTCAACATCAAAATAAAGAAACAATTCAATTAAAAAAGGAGCAGACATTTCTCCAAAGAAGACACACAGATGGCCACTAGACATATGAAAAGATGCTCAACATCACTAATCATCAGGGAAATCAAATCAAAACCACCATGAGATATCACCTCATGCCTGTCAGAATGGCTGCCATCAAGGAATCAACAAACAACAAGTGCTGGCAAAGGTGTACAGAAAAGGGAACCCTCTTGCACTGTTGGTGGAATTGCAAATTGGTGCAGTCACTGTGGAAAACAGAAAAAAAAATTAAAAATAGAACTGCAATAATGACCCAGCCATCCCACCTCTAGGATATCTATTTGAAAAAAGAGAAAGACAGATACCATATGATTTCACTCATATGTAGAACCTGAAAGACAAAAAAACAAAACAAAACAGAAACAGACACATAGATACAGAGAACAAACTGATGGCTGCCCGAGGGGAAGGGGTGGGGGGATGGGTGAAAAGAATGAAGTGGAATAACCTCCACTTATAAAAAATAAAAAGTCATGGGGGTGTAATGTACAGCGCAGGGAAAACAGGCAATATTAGTGTTAACAACTTTGTATGGTGAGTGATGGTTACTAGACTTATGGGGTGATCACTTCGTAAGCAATGTAAACGCCGAATCACTATGTTGTACACCTGAAACTAATATACTATCAGTTTGTTATATAAACTATATTTTAATTTAAAAAAAGAAAATGATGAAGAGATCCAGATTTCTTCTACAAAGTAGGTTATTCTAATGTTTGCACTCCTTATAAGCCACCAGCCCTTGTTTGGGTCAAGCAACCAAAGGTGTCCTGGTTTGTTGCATAATAGCAGTGACTGCCTTGGTGACTCAGCAGGGTTCTGTGCATGAAAGTCAACCCAGTGGGTGACAAGCTCCAGCCCTAAGGCCTCCCAGGCTCCAGATTCTTCCACAGGGTGATGGAAGGAGCCATTTCTCTGAGCCTGATCTCAATGTCTGGATTCCTAGAGCTTTGAGCAAGTAAATACTGTATCTCAGAAGTAGCCATCTTCCAGCTTGATTTTGCCTCCCTGGAAAACAAAAGAGCCTGGTGAATTCAATGAGTGAGAACATGGACTTTGGCACTGGAGAATTGGCTTAAGTGTGTGCTCTGGCATTTATGAGTTATACAATTGACCTGAAAAATGAGGACATTAGTACTTAGGTCTTAGGAGACTGAATTCAAGCGTGGTGATGTAGGAAACATGCCTAGCTCAATGCTAGCACTTAGCAGAAACTCAATAAATGGCCACTACGATTATTTTTACCTTCTTGAGCCCTCCCATGCTAGCAGAACAGCCAGCCATCCCCACTACCCTGTTCAATTCCCAATCCTTATCCAAATACTGATAAAATTGTGGCCCCTGGACATCCAGATTTGCAACTAAAAATAGGCTGCGTGATCTCCATATGCAAAGTGAATGTGCACTGGGGGAATTAGGCTGGGAGTGGGGGTGGAGCCATATCAGATAAACCAGCTAAATTGAGTCAATTTATGGTTACCTACCCTTACGTTATAGAGAAAGAGTTGAGCGACTTGTCCATTTGACCCTGGAATGTGGTATTCTTGTGCAATTCCTGAAGCTCATCATTTGCCGATGGATTCTGGTGAGTGGAAACCTGTTTTGAATGTGGCAAGAGAAATCACTATTTCAAGAAAACCTGTATTGTGTGTGTTTTAAGAATGCAGATTCACTATCTCCTCATGGTTTGGGTTGCTAATCCAGATTTCTCACAGTTTGGTATGTGTATTTTTGTGTTTGCAGAATCATTTTCTCTCTATCAAATATGTCTGTGGCTATCTATGGAGTCATCGATTCAAATCTTTTTCACTATAGTTTTACTTTCCCCATATACATGGGTTTGTAGGGGGTAGAGGGATGGTCATTCGCCAGGGATTAAATTTTTCTTGGGGAACACCCACTTAGAGCATTGGAGGTCCCTGAGTGAGTGCTGGTCACAGCAACTGAAGGCCTGCAGAGACGAAGAATCTGCACTCCAGCTGGCTTCCCTCTGTCCTAAGGCACCTCTGGTCAGTGTGGCCAAAGCAGTCTGCTCAACTCTGGGGCTTTAAGAAATAAACCAAGTTTTAATTACACAGTTTATACCTGGATGCATTCCCCTAGTAAACAATTGAAATAATACTGATAAGGGTCAAGGAACTTTCCCTCTCATTGATTTCTGAGAGTTTTTAAAACATAATGAATTTTGAATTTATCAAAGTTCTGTTTTTTTCTGTTGTTATGATCATAAGTTTTGTCCTTTAATCACTGTCCCCCTATGATCCTCAGTTTGGTGTGTGGCATTCAAGACCTTTTCCTGTGTGTGTGTGTGTGTGTGTGTGTGTATCTGTGTACCTACATATGTAGGTATTAAATTAATATGGGTATTGTATTAATATCAGCATTCAAGCCATATACATGTGTATATTATTAATATACAATCAATACTGATATTAATTTATACAGGGTTTTCTATGGAGGGTGTTTTCCAACTGAATAATTTTGCAATTTGCTCTTTTTCTCAGCAATATGCAGTTCATCAGGCTCTGCCTTTTCATTTGTAACGGACAGGTAGTGTAGTGTTTCCTAGTGATGAGTTTATTTGGCCAGGCTCCTACTGATGGCTATTCAGGGCGGTTCAACTTCTCAGTCTTGGAGACAATGCTGCAATGAACGTTCTAACCATGTTTCTTTCTGTGCATGGTTCTGCCATTTTAGGAGGTTCATTTTAAGAAATGTCACGGGATTTACTGCTAAATTGCCCTTTAGAGTGCCAATCTAAATTCCCACCAACAATGCATGAGTGTACTTGAAAACTTTTCATATTATTAAACTAAGATAAATGTAAACTAAGATTACAATTTTGTTGTAATTTGCATATATCTAAATAGCAATAAAGTGGAGTATCTTTCCATGTCTTTATTGGCCAGCGATATTTCCTCTTCAGTGAATTTCTTATTCAGATTCTTTCCATACCTTTTTTTATTTGGGTTGGTTATCTCTTTCATATGAATTTGTAAGGGTTTTTAAAATGTATTCTTGATACTAATTATTTGTTTCTCCTAGGCTGTTGCTTATTGTTTAACTTTGTTTATGGTGTCTTTTTATACCCAGAGAACAAATCATGTGAGGACACAGTGAGAAGATGGCCATTTGCAGGGCAAAGAGAGAGGCCTCAGGAGAAATTAAACTGGATTTAATACTATTAAATCATCTAATCCGTGAACATGCGATTCTACATCATCCATGTTGATATTACCAAGAATAATCACCAAATTTATCAAGAGTTTAGTTCTAGAATTTTTTGTTTGTTTTTCCTTATTTGTTTCTATAGTAAACATCTTTATACACCTAAATATAGGTACAACACAATATACATACAAATAGATATACAGACACCCATACATGCATACATGCACACAGACACACATATACACACACGTATTGTATTTTAGCTTACTACTTCTTGAAACTCACTTATTACTCACAGATTCACTTTTCTTCCTATTGAAATATATATTTCAGAGAGGTCTAAATTGGCTTAACAAGGAAGTCTAGGTCCTATTATTTCCCCTTACCATCTTATTTAGTCTCTGCAAAGGCCCTTGAAGGAAGGTACCAGAATCCCTATTTTACAGATATAGCTTTAGAAGCTTGGGGAAGCTAAGTATCTTGCCCAAAGCCACATAGTTAACACAAGGCAAACTGGGATTTGAGCCCAAGTCCTGTTCGTTCCAAGCTCAGATACTGAGGCACTTTCCAAAATACCAGGCTAACATATGAAAGTCGATAAAAAGCACTCAACTGTTAGTTTCCTTCTGTCCCGTCTTTCTCTTCTTCTCTTTTCCAAAAATGGACAGACGTTTTTCTCCCCATAAGTGAATCTATCAAGTTCACTATATTTAGATGTTCACGAGTAGGAACTGGAAAAAGAGGAATTTTTCTCGGATCAGGAGATGGTAGAAATGACGGATGGACATGGCTGCTGACCTGGGATTGGCATGTAACCTGTGGTTGGTGACAGAGCAAACCTAGCTGCTTCTGGGTCAGCCTGGCACTCTCTACGAGGTGGTAAGGTGGTGTGTGCCTGGCAGGGCCACTAGAGCAGGGTCTGGGAGGTCAACAGCTGGCAAGAATCCTGCAACCTAGCACATGAGAAGGTAGGAAAGACTCCTGAACTCCTCAGCGCCTGGGGCTGGAACGTTCTGCCTTGCTAGCTATGATTTTTCTCCCCCTTTCTTGGCAAAGCTAAGTGGTTAGGTGCATCTCAGCAGCAAAGTCAAAATTAATTTTGCTTCCCTCTGCAATGAAAGTCCAGCTGAGTTGGGAAGGGAGGGGCCCTTGAAAGGTATTTCCACTTTGGCTTGACTTATTAGTTTGGTAGAAATGGCATTTTTGTTCTTGGTAGATTATTAAAACCCTCAAGGAATGTGCAGAAGGCAAATTTAGTTTGAGGAGCCCGGTAGGCCAAGGAGACTCTGAATAAAATAGCCTAGTTGTTTGGATAGCTGGAGTGTTGGTAAGAGGGAGCTTTTGACTGAGGGCTGCCCCACTGCTGAGCTTCGTGGCTCCTGGGGCTCCATCCTGAGAGGGTCTGCAGGTGGTGTCTGCTCACCGCTCAACCCCGAAGCCTTCTGTGCCTACGCGGCTTCTCGCCGACTCTCCGGGGAATTGAGAAGCTCAGCTGGCCTCTTGCCCTTGGACTTGATCGCCATGGAAATCCCTTCAGGTTGAGGAGTGCAGGAGGCAATAAAAACGGGGTGACACTGGGTGACAAGGAAGATGGGAGAAGGCCACATCTGGCCCGTTCCAATGCTCCCTAGAGCAGTGAGGCCCCAGCAGGGCGAGGTTTGGGGAGAGGAGGCAGTGCTGCACCCTGTCACTGGGAAGGGTTTGATTGAGCAGCTGACTCAGAAACACAGGGCTGATACCCCATAATTACAGCTCCATGTGGTGTTGATCTTGTCAAAATGCAGAGCCCTCCTGAGTCCCAGGGCCTCTGCCCCTTCTAAGTAGGAGAAGCCTTTCCAGAAAACAAATCCTCATACCTCTCCACATTCAATCTCACAAAGGCAAGAATCACCTTTGTAGAAGAGGTGCTTTTCCTTCAGGAGCCCAGGGAGTTTTTTCCAGACACAATCATGACCATGTCAGCCCTCCTCCAGGTCTTTAGCAAGACTTCCGAGCCTGCTGATCTGGCTCCAGCCCACCTCTCATCTAACACCCGTGACCTCTACAGCTAGTATTAAATCAATGCAATGCACAGTGTTGAATGTCTGCCTCGTGTCGGGCATTGTTCTAGGCACTGAGGACACTCCCATAAACCAAACAAAGTTCCTGCCCTTGTAGTGTTTACATTCTAGTAGGGGGAGAGAGGTGAAATGTATAGCAAGTTGGCTAGCAATAAATGTTAAGGAGAAAACCACACAAGGAAGGGAGAATAGGGTCCTATTTTATCAGGTTGATCAATGAAAGCCTCACTGATAATGTGCCATTTGAACAAAGGCCTAAAAGAAGAGAAAGGGCAAGTCAGACATCTGAGGAAGGACATGCCAGGTAGCGAGACCAGCAAGTGCAAATGTCCTGAGGCGGGAACGTGCTTTCTTATGCTGCTCAAGAACAACAAGGAGGCCACTGTGGCTAAAACAGAGTGGGGAATAGAAGATGGGATCAAAGAAGCACCAGGGCGTTTGCACTTTGGTTTTCATTCAGAGTGAGATGGAAGGTTTTGAGCTGAGAAATTATATGATCTGACTTATGTTTTAAATGGACCCTCTGACTGCGTTGTTGAGAATAGAATAAAGGAGGGCAGGGGTAGGACCAGGAAGACTGGTTAGGAAGCTCTTGTAATGACCCAGGAGAGGGGTGATGAAGGCTTGGAGCCTGTCCCAATGGTGAAGGTGGTGAATGCTGGTGGGATTCCAGACACATGGCGGAGTTGTCAGGACTGCCTGGCAGAGTGGATGTGGGCGTGAGAGAAACTGAGGGGTCAGAGATGTGTCTACGCTTTTGGCCCAAACAACTAGAAGGATGGATTGACCCCTTACAGAGGTGGGAAGATGGCAGGAGAAGCAGGTTCTGGGGGCAAGATCAGGAATGTGGTGTTGGACCTGTTAATTTTGGGATGGTTATTAAACATTCCGAAAAAGGGTGTCAGGCAGGCATTTGGATGTTTGAGCCTGGAATGAAGGGGAATGACCTGGCTGGAAACATAAATTTAGGAGTCATCAGCTATAGGCGGTCTTTACAATTATGAGTCTGGTTGAGGATTGGCCTTATTTAAATTCATGACTACCAACCTCAGTGGGGTCTTGAGGAATTAGAGGTGAGAAGTTCAAGGACAGAGCCCTGGGACACTTCAAAGCTTTGGAGTCCGGAAGATGAAAAAGACCCAGCAAAAGACATAGAGAAAGAGCACTCAGTGAGGTGGAATCCAGGGGAGGAAAGTGTTTCAAGGAATGAGTGATCAACTGGGGTAAAAAGTCCTGAGGGGCCAAGTGAGATGGAAACTGAGAATCGATTGTTTGGCAAGCAATTGGTCACTTTGAGAAGGCGCGGAGAAGTGAGGGAAAAGTTGTGATGGAAGTGGGGTCAAAGTAGGACAGGCGCACATAGTCTTGTTAACTGCCCTGTACCTTGCTTTTTCTCACTTTCGTGTCATCTTCCTTCCGTTTCCTTTTTAATTCCACATGCATCAAGGAAACTGCAAAACTGTCATTCTCTGGAGCATTTGAGACCTGGCTTCTTAGCACGTTGTCTGTTTGGCTCACATACACTCCTATGAAAACTCTCTACAGGTTTGGCCGTTCTTACCTCAGCCCTCGCATGTTTGGTGCCTGGACTGGATTCAAAGGCTGGACTCAGCTGGGACTGCCGGCCAGCGTGCCTTATAGCAGGGAGGCGCCAAGGCAACCGGGCTTCTTACACGGTAGCTCAGGGCGCCAGAAGTGAGTGTTCCCGTGAACACAGCAGGAGCACACGGCCTTGTATAATCTAACCTCTGAAGTCACACATCAGTACTTCCACTGGACTCTGTTGGCCGAAGCAGGCACAAACCATCCAGATTCAAAAGGAGGGACATAGACACGACTTCCCCATGGGAGGAATGTCAAAAACTTCACATTAGTCTTCTAAGTCAGGCCCCTTCATGATACTTTTTTTTTTTCCCCCCAGAATTCTTATCTCAGTATGTACTCGTGTGTATTCACTATGGTGACAATTTGAATCAGGGCTTGCAAACTCAAATAAATGACTACCACAGCCGGGCAGGGGAACGAAGCTGACCAGGTAAAAGAGACCAGAGGGCTAGTGAATCAGACAGTGTTGGTGCTCTTTGAAGTAAGCAGCCGCTTCTTGGCACTGGCTGATTGTTTTTCCGAGGGGATGCATGCCCAGTGTTGCCAAAGCTTCTGCTCTTTCAAGAAAGGTCCAGAACTAAGGGTGTTATGTAAAAGTTCCCCATATTAAAAAGGTCGTGCAGGCCACTGGCTGCCTGGCACACAGTAGGCTCCATAAATCATTGCGGAAGAAGTAGCATAGAAGAGTACCCTTGAGGTCCTCTCACTCATCAAACAAGAAAACTAGGCGCCTGCAGCAGGCTTGGCATTTAGCATGATCCACACAGCACCTCAAAGGGCAAGTCACTTTGTCCCTGTTTTGCTTTATTTTTCTTCTGACTGCTTAAAATGATCTGAGATGGTGTAATTGATTGCCTGGGCCTCCCACATGCCAGGTTAAGTCTTGTTGGTTTTGTTTGTTCTGTACCCAGGGCCTGGAGAAATGCCTGCCATAAAGGGTGGCCGGTGGGTTCTTCCTGAAAGAAGATCAAATGGGTGTTACAGGTATGGTTCGGGGGGGCCAAGCACCTTGTGGTAGGTGCCAAGGTAAGTAAGCAGGCATACACACACACACACACACACACACACACACACATTTGGTGCAGAAGTACGACTACAGTTGACACTCTGGTAGAGAAGGCACTCCTTGACATACTCTGGAGCTGTATTTTTGAAAACGCTTGTGCAATTTAAACATGCATTTCTCAAAATCAGTTTCCATATGTGATATTATAAGAAAGAAGGGGATTAAGGGGTTTTGGTAATCCTTGGGAGACATTACAAGCTTCATGATTCCAGTCTGTTTCAGGCAAAACTGTGAATATTTAAATCTGTGATTGAAACGCGGAGCCCTGGGGTGGGGAGAGTGGGGAGGAGAGCTTTGGAAGCCAGGCAGGGGTGGGGAAGGCAGGCTTGGCCTCCCTAACTGCCTAGAGAGGTTCATAGCAGTAGAGGCTGTTCAGTTTTTCCTGTTTTTGTTTTGAAGACATTTGGAATCACCTAGCCCAGCTGGCTGGGCAGTCAGAAGTTTTATAGCGAAACAGAATGGGGTGTGGTGCCAGCAAGCGCAGACACAACACAAAGGCACCTCCTGAGACAATGGCTTCAATATGCAGCTGCTCAGAGGTGACCAGCCACCCTCCCACACTGCCCACTGATGTCAGAGGTGCTGGGCGCTTAGAGGTGGCAGCCTATTGTGTGACACCATTGCCAGCAGTGTGTTGATGAAATGTGTGGGGAGAGAAAGCAAGCCTCACACAGAAAAACGCACATCCCTGCAGCCTTTTGTCCAGGGAGCTGTGTTTTGCCCCCAGAGTTCCCTGACTCCCAAATCCTTTCTGTCTCCATGGGTTTTGCTGATGAACCTTGTCTTTTTATAACACCAGTGGATGTTTCTTCCTAAGAAATGCCACTCACTTCTCAGACAGCCAGGAGTTAGGACCGTGTCTGGGGTCACCCCTCAAGTCATACACACCGTCTCTCTGATCTGCTTGTCCTCCAAGGCAGAGAGTTCCAGCAGCAATTCTGGGCTGCAGCCCCTCATCTCCGTGCTGCCCATTAGGAGAGACCCCGGGGCCGA